TAATTTATTTAAAATAAACTGCAGAGAAATAAGCATACTAGAAGTACGGATACTTGATCAGAACTGAGATTTAGTTGATTTGCGTGGACCCATTCGTCTACGCCTAGGATCAGCAGAATAATAATATAAAATACAAATCCTGTCCTTCGCCCCCTTATCAATTTTAACAAATAAAAGGTGAAGTGGGAGCATCAACATCTATCATCATGACGAAACCATCTAAAAAACGGAATATCATATTTATCATCCATATCAACAAAAATTTTAAAACAAATGATGAAGTTCGCATCACAATACAAAACCAAGATTTTTATGTCCGTCCATGTGAAAGTTTTCTCCACTTTGAAGGTACTCTTACCAGAATTATTCATAAAAATACAGGGCAACTAGTACAAACGGCTTTGATGGACTGCTTAAAAATAATTCCATGGCTTTTTTTTTTTACGAAATCTAATATGAGTTGAACGAATGTGAGCTGGACAGGACCAGGTTCACTGGTACTGCATCAACCCTCAAAAACTTGTTCTCCATCGAACAACAGTAGGGTCATCTATATCGCAACGCTTGGTGAAATGGAGGAAATGTTATCGAGTCTGGTGGTCATTTCACCTTTTCAGTACCACTTAAAATGCTAATGGGATTCGCTGTAGACTATAAGAAAGTTGTATTAAATTTTAAACATGAACTCATTCTCCTACTAGCTAAAAATACATTATTACAGGGAACAGATCATTTAAATCGATTTTTCACCGAAATTCCATTTATCAAATTGTTTATAAAAAATAAACTATTTATTGGAGACAAAAAATCTTAAATACTAAAAAAAATATTTAAGAAGGTCGTGTTGAAATTTGAGACTAATCGGGCTAGCCGTTTTCGAGAAATGTTGGTCACCGACTTTGAAAATACCACTTTACATAGGATAAAAATTTTTATTAAACCCACATGGAGTTGTCAATTCCAATTTTTGTATATGCATATGAATGCGCATTTGGTCCAAATGTAATTCCTATTCCACATTCAGAAATTTTGGCAAATACTGTGATAAAATTTAAAATACAATACTCAACAGACGGATCACATCGAACTGAAATTTCCTCTTGGTCTTTGAATTTTTTCACTCTTTCTTCCATCGTACAAGGCAGCAATAAAATCATGTTGTGTTGAAGTTAAAATAAAAGTGTATTTGTGGATTTAGTTTAGGACCAAAAATCCCCAGGGATATTAAAATCGCAAAAAAAAAATTGGTTCCATTAAATAGAAAGTTCCGATAATGGAGGAATTTAGGAACGTGTAATAAACATTGATATTGCTTCATTCAGAGGAATCGTTGCATTCCTCAAATAGGCCAATCTATCCGGTATGCTACAAAGACAGCTAGAAAAACTGAAATGTTTACGAGAGCATAAAAACATGAGAAGCAAATGAAAGATTATCAGAATACAATTTAGGAAGCATATACGTAAGCTTCTTGTATTCTGCCAGGAAATACATTGGAAGTAGATTAGTTTTTTTGAACGGAATTGGAAGTCGTAGATTTGATGAATATCAGGCGTGGTCTGATCAGGCCCAGAAAGAGTTATTCTTCCTGCTATGAAGCTCTTAAAAAAGTGGAGAAAATTTAAAATTTTAATCAAGCCTTGGTTATTTAACACCTGGCCACACCTGACAGATGAGAGCTAGCTTGCGTACATATAAGTCAAATACACTTCTTCCTTTTCTACTTACTCAAATCATACAGTATGTGGAGTTGTGGAGAGTTTTAGCTAATATAAAAATATATAAAAACATTATTTTTTATTTTTATTTATTAGTTTAACATATGTACTTTGATATACTAATAAAATAAAAAGTTGTTTTCTTAACATCAAAATGAATATTTTAAAAACTCTCCAATGTACATACGTTCTGGGTGTACTCACAAAGTGAAGCTAGAAGGAAGTTATTCTAATTTCTGAGTTGGGTTCTTGTAATACAATCCAATGAATTATACTCTCTTGAGAGAGATTGATTTATAATTAAGGGCAACAAGAAAAGACAAAAACTGAAGTATCCATAATAATTATAATATTCTTTCATCTTTCAAAGTGAACGGACGTGTTTTTTTTTTCATGCGATCTCGTTTTGTTGTAAAGTTTGCAAATAACCATCCGGGATAACTTAAATCTTCTATTTTGTGTCAACAACTTCCCGTTCACTTCGCGTGCGCATGCAGCTATTCTGCATTCTGAATTGTGTATATAATTGGTTTTATTTCGCAATTTAGTTGTGCTGCTAGTGCTAGGTTTTGCATATTTTGCATTCCTTTTTTGTGCCTTCTTCGTTTTGCCTTTGTTTGCGCCGTCGCAACAGCTAAACGTTTTAGTTATCCATATCCCACGCTCTCCCTATCTCTCGCTTTCACTGTGCCGCTTAATAATGTCCGCAAATATTGGCTGTTTCGCCAAAGCCTGCAAAAAGGTTATTTCTGCAGGTGACCTTACAAACGGCAACATCGGCCTGCGTTACTGCTGCGAGGCCTGTCGCGATGTAGAAAGGGAGATGATATCTTTTATGCGGCAAACCAAAAACGGTTTTAAAGCATTTTATCGAGTTTTCGTAATCCCGACCCAAAAAATTAACCTAATCCCTAGGTATTTCCTATTAGAATGTAAGAGGCTTACGTAGTAAGCTTCCTAACTTGTATTCTGAAAGCCTTTCGTTCGCTTCTCAGGTTTTTTTGCTCACAGAAACCTGATTAAAGCCGGAGATTCTGAGCTCCGAAGTTTTTCCAGCTGTGTTCACAGTATATCGGCTAGATCGCCCTATCAGGCGATGGGGAGACGTTCTTATAGCGGTGGACTCCTCAGTCATGTCAGAATTATTAACCTTTGAGGAATGCAACGATTTTGAATTCCTTTGTGTGAAGCTATCTATCAAAGGTAGGTGCATTAGTATTACCTGTTCAAACATACCTCCATTGTCGGAACTTCCTAATTATTAGAACCACCTTTCCGCTGTTCAAATGGTTTTCAGAAGACTTTTGAATAGAGACCAGTTTGTAGTCCAAGGTGATTTTTATATCCCTGGTGCTATTTGGTGCTCAAATAATTTCACCAATACTCTCCTAACTTCTACACAACATGACTTTATCGCTGGCTTGTCCGAAATTACGCTGTCTCAAGTTAACCATGTGCGAAATTCCTTACAGCGCTTGCTCGATCTTTGTTTCGTCTCTGACCCTGCGAGAGTCAGTTTAGCCAGGGTGGCGTCTCTGACGCAGCCCGGAGATCCGTATTATCCAACTTTCGATGTGACTTTTGACATTGGGTCTTACGTACAGAATCTATCTGACCGTCCAGCCAAAAAAATAATCTGTTTTCGCAAGGCGGACTTTGAACGGCTGAATTATTTTATTAATGAGTTCAATTGGTCCGATCTATACATGTGCACTGACATTGCAGTTGCCGTGGATATTTTTTACATTGCCATGAATTTATTCTTTACTTAATGTGTTCCGATAACCTATCCACCAATCTCGAACAAGCCGCCATGGTTTACTAAAGAGTTGAGCCGACTTAAAAATAAAATATCTAGGCTGCATGCAAAATTTAAATTCACCGGTTCTCAGTCGGCCCTTTCATCTTACACTAAAGGTAAGCCATATAGAGGAATCTTTAAGTCGGCCATCCCTAAAATTTTTTTAAAAACAATTACTTCTCACTTGCTGCACCTTTGTAGATCAGTTATTTCTCCATGTCAACATGCTCAACAACAACAAATCTTTTGGAGGTCTCTTCTTATATTATAAAGGACTTCAATAATTAATTTCAGACAGATGTAATCTATGCAGTTTACCATTCTCACTTCGTTAGGAAACTCGATTTAACGGGTTTTCTAGTTGATCTTCTTAATTGGATCTCAACTTATCTGAATGGCAGGACTCAAAAGGTCCTCTTTAAGAATAATTTTTCTAATGGTCTACTTACTTCTACTTCTATTTACTTTTGGCGTACCGCAAGGGAGTCATTTGGGTTCCTTATTGTTTACATTTTTTATAAATACCCTGACCAAAGTCTTGACTAACTCCTAAGTACGCTGATGACGTTAAGCTTTGTTTGCAATACAAGGACGTCGTTTGCCAGTCGGATTTACAAACAGATCTCAATAATTTTCAAACTTGGTGCCGCGTAAATTAATTAAACTTAAACGGCTCTAAATGCAAGCTAATAACGTTCTCTCGTGTTGTTCTCAAGCTTGCTACTTACAGAATTAATTTAGTTGATGACGTGGCGTCCGCTTGGACCTAAAACTTGACTTTTTCAATCATATTTCGTCTATGGTGAATAAAGCCAGGGTAGTGCCTGGATTTATTAAACGGTGGTCGAAGAAACTCAATAACCCCTATCTTTCTAAATTCGTATATAATTTTTTAGTTCCTCCCTCAGTAAACGCATCGAATGGGCTTAAAAGAACTTTTTTACTTTTCGCTCTACGCGGTTTAAATTGGGACGCAACCCAAAGATTACCTATTTATTCTAATAGATTCCTCCTAATTAACTTACTAGTGATGTGGGAAGTGCTGACTTGTTGAGACAGCTGACTTTCCACGTACCAAGTAGAAATACTATATCCTATATACCCTTAGTGTTGCATCCCAATTCAGATTAAATTTAACCATGTTCTGTTACAGAGATACGCTATTAGCTGCTCATTCGTATTAATGTTTTAAAAACAAGAAATCCTCCATAGTAGAATATCTTTAAATTTATTCAGACTTTAATTGGCAAGCACAAATAAACCTTTTCATCCGAAAACCTTTTCCGCCAGTTTTCTATTTGACAACTATAAACCCCCATTGGTTTTAAGCTAAACTGAATCTTAAATCAGAATGTAAAATGTCTCAAGAAACGGCTTTGGAATGAAAAAAAAAAAAATTAAATCGACACCACTTTTTTAGAGAACTAGAAAACGATTATTTTATTTTATTTTTATAACCAATAGTTTATTTAAATCACATTTTTGGTAAATTTACAAGGTTGTGTGGAGCATTTAACGTATTTTAAAATCAATTAAGTTATTAAATGTTTGACTAAGTTGTTCGATGTAATTATAGGCTTATGTTGGCAGAATTGGTCCCAAAAAAAATATTAAAGATTTTTAGCAAGTAAATTTAACTAATTTCTTACTGAATTATATTTTTTAATGAAAAATTGCTTTAAGCTTTCCTTAATTACACATTTTTCAGCTCTCAATTATATTTTATTTATTTTTTTTTATTTTATCAATTATAGTTTAACGTGCTTGTACTCGTTTTTATGTATGTATGTGTATATATGTACATAGTTACATATAGATGCATTGATGGGTTGAAGATTGGTAGATATTAAAAAAAAAATCATCGTTATGTTTTAATAGAACTCCAGGCAGAACAAATCTGAAAATAATAAAACATATTTTATTATTAATGTAAATTTTTTAATAATGTTAATTTATAAACTTAACCTTTAGTCAAATTTAATTGCTTTCTTTGATAGTATATCTTCAGAAAAATCAAGGCGAACTCGTCCTAAAACTTCAAGAAGATCAAATTTAAAGAGGGCGTTGAACAAATTATTACAAAGGGAAAAAGTGTTATGCCGGTTAAACGTTTGAATTAATATTAACTTTGCGGCTAAATACCGAAAACAATAAATTTTTTTTTTCTTTTTTGGGAATGGATGTAAATGAAATGGATACGAATTTTAAAAATGTACCTTTTTATACTTATGCAGCCGATTCCATCTAGTCATGTCTGTCTGTTCGTTTATACGCAATCTAGTCTCTCACTTTTTAAGCTATCTACATAAAATTTTGCAGATAGTCTTTTTTTATTCTCACTAGAACATATTTAAGTCGGAACGGGCTAGATAGGACGACTGTATCGTTCAAGTTGCCAGATATTGAAGCAATCATAAAATTAAACAAGAAAGGAAGCTAACTTCGGCACGCCGAAGTTTATATACCCTTGCAGATAGAACTTCTATGACTTGGAATCTCAATAATATAAATTATATTTATTTGTGTTAAAAAAAATGAAGTAATACCTGCTTTCATTTCATTCACCTATACATATTATATTTGCAGTTTTACATTCGCAGATTTGCATTTTTCCTCTACATCAAACAATCGTTTGTATGGCACCTATATAACATAGTCGTCCGATTTTCATGAAATTTGACACAAAATTTAAGACTAATACAAAATGGCTATACCTCAAATTTGATGAAAATCAGCTGAAAACTGAAAAAGTTAAAAATTTAATTGTATTAAATTCTCGATCGTTCCTATGGGAGCTATATGATATAGTAGTCCGATTTTCATAAAATTTTATGCAAAATTGTAGAGTATTGTAGAATGGCTATATCTTAAATTTGATCCAATTCTATTGAAAACTGAAAAAGTTAAAATTTTTTTGTAAAAATTTTTCGATCATTCCTATGGCAGCTATATAATATAGTCGTCCGATCCGGCCCGTTCCGACATATATACGAGTGAGAGTATATGGAAGGCTAACTACAAAGTTTCATTCAGATAGTTTTAAAACTGAGAGACTAGTTTGCGTAGAAACGGACAGACGGACAGACGGACAGAAGGACAGACGGACAGACGGACAGACGGACATGGCTATATCGACTCGGCTGTTGATCCTGATCAAGAATATATATACTTTATATAGTCGGAGGTGCCTCCTTCACTGCGTTGCAAACTTCTGACTGAAATTATAATACCCTGCAAGGGTATAAAAACGACCTAGGGCGTCGCAAAGAGTGGCCAGCGAAATAAAACCGACTAAAAGGGCGGACGCGTGAATTTAAATCTTTGCGAGCCTCGATGCGGTGTCACTACTATAGCATTCTAGGCCGACTTCTTAGTTTTTACAGCTCATGAAATGGAGACCTAGACTAAATTTTAACCTCGTGAGCAGCATACCAAAACCTAAACTAAAATTTAAGACTGAATTTAGAAATTTTAAAGCTACAACATGGACCTAACCTCAACTTAAATTATACAAGGCCTGAGAAATAATAGAATTTGGAAAATATGTATAAGAACGAAAACCGTAACCTGGTTAGACCTAACAATCTAATCCTATAAATACTATTGCGCATATGTCCCCACTTGGCGAGGCAGAAGACTGCCGTTTAACTTTGACCGACAGCGTGTTCTGGGAGGGGGTAAAGCCGAGTCGGACTTTTAGCCAAATTCATTTTGGCTTTAATGCGAACCCGTTCGTGACCAAATTCATGGTGCTCGCCTCATAATAAAATTCATCAAAAGAGGTATAGAAAAAATTCAAAAAATTCCGATTCCAAAAAAATAATTGTATAGAGCTTCGACTTTCTAACAAGCTGGTTTTTTTCATTTGTTACAATTAAATTGTTAATTTTAGTAAATCATCAACTGGGGATTGAACCTACGCCTTAATGTTTAACAGTCCAGCCGCTTGTACATCGCGCCACGTAGAAAACTATAATTGCGCCGGCGATATACGCACATGTGCATATGGCGTATGAGAGGGACAAAAACCCCTTTAAGACATTTATTTTTTTCCTCGCTTGATATTTTACTTTACCGTCGCGAGGCGATCATGGCGCGTTGCTCAGGGGTTCCGCCTTCCAAACAGGCTAGCGCGAGTTCAAATCCCGCTCGACTTTTTCTTACTTAATTTTTTAATTCAACGAATTTCTTTTTAATAATTTTGTTTCAGTTAAAGATTAACCAACAATATTAAAAGGAATCAATAACTGTGGTTAAATAAGATAACAAAATTATACTACATAAAAAGCACACAAACTCTCGAAAATATAATATTAAGTTCATATTAATAGGTTTCTATTCTCTTGATATTTTTCGATTTTCATTTAAAGGAATTCTACGTTGTTTGTTTGCTGGGATTTTCTTATTTATTATCGGCGCACTTCGTGTTAAAACAAATATCCCGATAGGGAAATACTTTACCACAGATTTCCACTGAATGCTGCGCTTGCCACTCTGCTGAACAGGGGACCATGAGGCCATCCTTGCTTGACATATTTTTCTATCCTGAGTCGTTCACCGCATGAAGCAAAGTCCGACTGGGGACTCTTTCACGGAGTGCCGGAAGCAATCCCATCTAGCGGTTACGCCTCCCACCGAAAAGAGGCTCTTTTCTTTACCTACTTTTCCAAACCTTGGCCCCTCGAAGTGAGTGCCGTGAGACAGGTCAGAAATACCAAATCAGAATCCTTCCTACTTGTGTTATCTGGTGACTGACATCCTTCATCTTACGCCAGTTCACTATTTTCATCGAAGCCGTTTGCAACGCAGTGAAGGAGGCACCTCCGAATATATAAGGCCATGTCCGTCTGTCCGTTTCTACGCAAACTGATCTCTCAGTTTTGAAGCTATCTAGCTAGTTAGTCGTCTATATACTCTCACTCGTATATATGTATGTCGGAATGGGCCGGATCGGAAAATTAAAAAAAATAATTATAACATTTTCAGTTTTAAACAGAATTGGGATTCAAATTTTAGATATGGCCATTATATATAATTCTACAACTTCGTGTTAAATTTTATGAAAATCGGACTACTATATCATATAGCTCCAGATTTTCATTAAGTTTGAGATATAGCCATTTTATATTATTCTACAATTTTGTGTCAAATTTTATAAAAATCGGCCGACTATATCATATAGGCGGCATACAAACATTCGTTAGATATAGAGGAAAAATGCAAACCTGTGAATGTAAAACTGAAAACATAATAGGTATAGGTAAATGAAATGAAGGCAAGCATTACAGCATTGTTTTTTAACATAAATATTTATAATTTATATTGAATGAATACCTAGCCATCGGAGTTCTATCTGTGGACAAACAACGTTATTGCGATTCCCTAAAAAAAAAATTGGATATCTAGTGCTTGCCAAAAAGATTTCTGGAACTGACCGCCGACGATTTCACGAATCTAATTACCGCTTGACTGTCTACGAACAGGCTTACCACACTCTGCTTTTGCAGGGGTCAACCCTGATGTGCAGGCACTCAGCAGCATTGGTTGAGGGCCAATGGACACACTCCCGTGAAAATTATGCTTATCTTTATGGACGTATTAAACCAGGCTTGTGCCTGTTGGGTTAAGTATAAGTAGGCGCGATAGGAAATATAGAAAAGAGTACGAAGAAATTAACTACTAGCGTGCTGCCAGATTGCTTGCTGCATGTGTACTAAGTGGGATAGAATTAAAGTTTTTAGTTTTGGAAAACTAATTTTCATATAATGCTCTAAAAGGTTCATGTACCTCAAAGGAGATTCTTCAACACTAAAGGTATATAGAATCTAGTATTTCAACTTCCTACGTCGAAAGTGAGCTGACTCAACAAGTCAGCACTTTCCACATCACTATGGATGAAGTTATAGATAAAAAGGTAATGCCAAGCATAGTTCTACGGTTGGCTAAGGATGGTAAGTTAATTAGGAGGAATCTATTTTGTAAAAAGTTCTTTTGAACCGATTCAATACGATTACTATGGACGCTAAGAAAGAAGGAACTAAAGAAGTATATGAGGATTTAGTAAGAGAGGGGTCATTAAGATCCCTTAACCGCCGTTAATTGTGTGCATTATAATTTATTCATTGCGGGTTGTCTGCATAATACTTAATTGTATTACATTTATTTATGAGCAAAACAAAACTAATTAATTTCTGAACCCTGTAAGAATCTACAACACTACAGAAAAAGTTTATTTTAGTTGTCATAATAAATTCTTCTAAACTTTTCCCATTACAATTAAAATCAGCATTTCACCTTTGTTAAAGGCGGCTGGACACATTCCAGTATTTCATAGTGCGTATGAAAATAGTATCTGACAATGACTTCTGTCTCTGTAATGTGCAATGGTCTTAAATTATTTGTGTACCCTGAACTGAACTTTCTTATACCCCTACATGTTGTCTAAAAAACAACTGACGATTTCATAACAATGAAAAAACATTTAGATCTTATTTTAATTATACTTCAAATGTCAATTACTAGTAATTGTCAGATTTTAGGCAACAAACCCGAGAAGACATACAAAGACTCAGTGAGCACAAACAAAACCTCACTACGACACCAAAGATTGTATAAGTATAAGATTAGTAACGCCATACGATTTTTTTGCACACGATTTTTTCGTGCTGGCTTTTGAACTGGCTCCAGGCTCTCTCGCACTTCGTTCAAAAGCCAGCGAGAGAGCGCTCTAGAGCCAGCCGCTCTCTCGTGCTGGCTCTAGACTCTAGAGTCTAGAGCCAGCAGCACTCTCACGCATACAGCAATGTTTTCGTGATGGCTCTAGAGCCAGCAGCTCTCTCATACGCATACAGCAACATGGCGTGCCTCAAAATACCGATTTCGCGGTTGAATTTATTAATAATTATAATTATAATAATTTTTTTGAAACTTATTTTAGAAAATGAAAAATTCTCTTAGTCTTGATCATCCTGACCAATTTTTTTATAATCATGTTAAAAATACTCGTTTTTAAGCAATTTTAAGTTTTTGGCCGCG